GTCCGCGCCGGTCTGCGGCCCCTGCTCCACGCCCTCGCAGGGTGCTGCCACGGCGAAGCGCCTGAAAGGCTTTGCCACGAGAGAAGGCGCTAGGCAAATGCGAGGCGCAGGCCGGGCCCCCTTTGTCTGGAAGGGGTCCTCAGGAATAACTCGCTGAGCTTTCGGGGATGCAGAGTCTGTACGTGCTGCCACCGTTTTCTGGCAAGTCACTCCAGAGTGTATACACCGCCCCCCACCCCCGCTCCCTAAAACGGCTGTGGCCCTACACCAAGCGATCACCAGTCAGGGAACGGTGAGTGCGTGACTTGGAGTCTGGGTGCCCTGCGTCTCGCCGTCGGAGGGCGCAGACCTCAGGAGCGCCCGGGGAGCCTTTTGTCCCCGCACCAAGGCCGCCGGGCCTCTGCACCCGGAGCCTGGGTGTCTGTTCTGACACCCCCTGGCTCCCGGCTCACTCGGGGCTGTGGCCCTGGGCAGGTTCGTGAACCTCGCTCCGGACCGTATGATACAGCCCTTGCGGAGAGCCTGGCACGCGGCCCACAAAGCTCGGACGTCAGCTAGCGGGAGCTTCTGGCTCCAGGGGGTCCGTGACACACAGTATGCAAGACTGTTGATACTGTTTGAAAATGTGTCGACAAAATTCAAGCTGGAGTCAGAATTCTGGCGTAAAGCGTATACACTATGACGGCTATTTTTTCTAGTTCAAAAGCTTTCGTCGTGGCTTTTGTGCTTGGTTTTTTAACTTTTATAGATTGGATTTCTTTTCTGAGTGAAGTTATATAGCAGCCTAGCCTTTAACAAGTGAGGTCTTAGCATGTTTTTTTGCTTTGTTTCTGGGGGGCTTTTTGAGTTGGAGTCTCACTCTGTCACCTAGGCTGGAGGGCAGTGGCACGCTCACGGCCTCACAGTCTGAGGCCATGACAAGTAGCTGCTGGGCTACTCGACCTGCTGGACTCGACCTGCTGAGCTCAGGCGATCCTACCGCCTCAACCTTCCAAGTAGCTGGAATTACAGGCGAGTGCCACCATGCCCAGCTAATTTTTTGATTGCATGTAGCAATG